ATAAACATCCTTTTCCATAAATATGTGTGTCTTCTTGTCATACTCTTGGGATAAATCCTGGGAAATGGAATTTCTGAGAAAAGAGGACATTTTAAAGACTCTTCATTGTTGCCTTCTACAGAGGTTGTATCAGCGATACTTTCATCAGCAGTGTATGTATGGTCCTGCTTTTTATTTTCAAAATTGCTTGAGTTGGTAAAATACATTTACTTTGATTTTCCCTTGATGATATAAAATACTTGTAAATAAAGCAAAAGTTTCATCTCCTAAACACTAATCTGTAAGAAACAAGGGTTAGTCATATAATAATAATGGTCACTATTATTGTAACAATACTTTGATACGGGTCCAAAAGTAGAGGATGTCATAGTAAGAAGAGTGTTCATAACTTCAGAGGGTAGAGTTGAGGAGGGTGAGAAGGAAAGGGAGTTACTGATGACTGGCTAAAAAAATCTAGAGTATCGCCAGCATGTCTGAACTGTTTCAGGCAGCACAGGTGTTATGCTAAGGAGTCCCCTTGTATAGTTAGACTAGGAAAGAGAAGATGGAACAGGGACATGATGAGTCCTTAGGCATCTAAAAGGGCTTTCACATGTCTGAGAGATTGGAAGTGACCCTGGCCAGACTGCAGATCTAGGATCTGTGGAGAAAGAGAAAGGAGTTGGATTGATTCAAACTCTGGAGATCTTTTTCCAAAAAAGTAGAGCAATTTCTGAATGGAATGGACTTTCTGTGATTCAGAGATTCCCATTAAGAGAGGCTTAATATAGAGAACAGATGATTAAGGGGGGGGGGGGGCTATGCTTGGCATGGAGATTGGACTGGTTGACCAAATGGATCTATGGGTTATCTTAGCTCAAAGGAACTGGAACACTAGGAAGAAAAGCACACCAGGTTCTTTAGGAAAATGAACTTTGTCTCAAAGCATAAAAAGTTGGATTATATGTACATGTATGAGAAATCCTGAGACTAATAATGTGAGCTGTCAATGAACATGATAACAACAGGTAACATTTATTTTATTCTCATTACTTTTGAGACATTGTTCTAAATTTACTGTGAGCATTGTCTCATTTTGTTCTCATAATAACCCTTGGGTGGCATGGAAAATAGTAAGAGGGATAATCTGCCCCTCTTCCAAATATATCCCTGGACCTGTTACTATGCTACCTTACATGGCAAAGGAACTTCAGAGCCGTGATTAAGTTAAGGATCTCACATGGGGAGATTAACCTGGGTTATCTGAGCGGGCCCACGTAATCACAAGTGTCCTATAAATGAGAGAGGCAGGAGGGTCAGAGTCAGATTAGAATATGTGAAAACAAAAGCAGAGGTTGGAGTAGTGTGTTTGCTGATTTCAGAGATGGAAGGAGGCCATGAATCAAGACACTGGACAGCTTCTAGAAGCAGAAGAAAGACAATGGATTCTCCTAAAGGCTTCAGTAGAAATGCAGCCCTGTAGATATTTTGACTTCAGACTTTTCTTTGACTTCTGACCTTGAGAACTATAAGATGATAAAAAAAAATGTGTGTGTTTTAAGCCACTGAGTTTATGGTAATTGTTTAGAGCAGCAACAGGAATCTAGTACAGGTGGTCACTATTATCTTCCCCACTTATCAGATAAAAAAGTTGAGGCATAGGTAGGTAAAGGGATTTTCCAAGGACCTTGCAACCAGTAATTAGCAGTAAACTGTTCAGCTTTCAAAGCCCGTGAATTGAGGAAAAAAATTTTCTATTTATGTTTTCCTAATGTCAGCATCCTCAGGACCTCAGTAACAAAGTCCTTATGAGATCTCTCGAATTCATTTTATTGTCAGATATAAAACATAAATACAAGATTATTTTATGGGTCAGATGCAGATTAGTCAAGTCCAGTTTTCTCTTTCTCTGTGGAATATACTATAAATCCCTATAGTTCCTCTTAATTCGTTTATGGATCTTGTATTCACAGATTAAGAAAAAATAACTTTACTCTTGCTGTATAAAATAGAGCCCTCTATTGTTGCATTCAAATGTACCCTTTGTAAATTCAGTGTGTGTCTCTGAGTACCTTGGTATTTCATGAACAAATCAGTGTTCAGTTTATCCACTAACATATTTACAGACTGAAGGTCTTAATGTTTGTCTTTTTTCATATAGTGTCCCCCCCCCCCCCCATATCAGTGTGCTATTTTGAGCTCTTTTATTTCAAAGACTTGGGGGAAGAATTAGCCCAACTGAATTAATGACTTGCCTAAGTTTCACTGGAAGTCATTGGCAAAGCTAAGAACAAAGTCTAAGGTTTCTGATTCTTGGTTAATTTCCCAAATCCTAGCCATAAGTGTTCTATTATAAAAATGGTCTTTTGGTCTAATCATTTGAAAATGTGCTACTAGAGGAATCCAAATATTTAAATGTCAATAACCTTAGTATTCAATAGCAGAACAATATCTTCTGAAATAAGTGAAAATTCATGTTGGGATATTGTTGTAGAATATCAAGGCATGATGAGGAGGGGAATGTTCCTGCTGGTGGAGAAAGCCATGTAATCACTCATCTGGCCAGGAAAATGCAAGGGAAGAGTGTGGATATTAAATAACTATTTTTCTCTTGCGAAGGGCAGTGTCTAAGGCATGCACTAACTGAGAGTCCTCAATCTTATGTGAGAAAAAAATATATTTTATTTCTCTCAAGTTCTTGGCATTGTTTCCTCTTTTCTGCTGGCTAAGAAAGTTAAATATCCTACCAATGAAATTTGAAGTGAAGATGAGAAAAAACGATGTTGGTGCTGACAGGGACATTTAAAAAATCAATACAGTTTTATAAATATTTATTGAGTACCCACTATGGGCCAGTTACCAAGTTAGGGTCTAGGAAATAGCTTAAATAAAATAAATTTTGCCTGCATTAGACAGGCTCTTTTGGTCACAAGTGATAAAAAATCCAACCCAAAATGTCATGAACAAAAACTCCATTTAGTGGTTCACATAAATTAACAGTTTAGGGCACTGGCTGACCAGTGTTCAAATGATATTGCTAGGTCCCAGCCTCTCTTCGTCATCTCTTAGTTCTGCTTTTTAATATGTTAACTCTATTTTTAAGGAAGGGTCTTGTGGTGCAAGATGGCTGCCACTGATCCAGAACATCAAACAGGAAAGATGAAGAATATCATATCTAACTGGCCATCATTGAGCCATATATTTATTCCTGGAGAATGCAACACTTTGATTTATTTAGTTTTAATCCCACCAAACAATGTGGGCTTTGTATGAGGAAGTGGTTTCTTAGAGGGAAATTGGAATACTGCTACCATAGGATGAATGAACATTGAACACAAGATTTCTATTCTACTCTCCTCAAGGAGCATATGTTCTGGTAGACATCAGTGTCCTGTCATTTCCATTGCCCTCCTACAAGAAAACTGTAAAGCACACAGGGGAGCAAGAGGAAAGAAGGTCTATGGTGTTAACAGCAATTTAGAGATCCATCCGTGGATTGCCATTTGCTGATTGGAGACACCCCCAAGTGAACACACAACAAAGATCATGATATTATTATAATTGTTTTGATCATCCCACCAAAACAGCATTGTGTGCACCAACTAACTCTTGCCTGGTCATATTTGTGCAAATATCTCTTTGCCTGATATTGTCCACCTCCCTGACTTCTCAATGCTTTAAAAATATTCACATTTTGTATTTTCTCATATACTCTGCCTCTCCCTCCCCTCCAGCCTTTACTTATAATGCATGCCTAAATTCTGTACAGCAAATTTTTCAACAAATTAGAGTGCATTGTTCTCTTTTTTTAATTCTTGAGAACATTTTGGGAGATAGACTGTAGAAAAGATCTGATGTGTCCCAAAGCTGTAACATATTATCAGGTTTGAAATGCTAGCAAGAGTCTATGGAAAGAATAGTTTTAAAAAATAGTGAGGTTAAGTAGGAAAAAAAATCAAATTTTGAAGAGATGTGAAAGGTGGTCTGAAAAATGGTTGCAGTGTAATAATACTGGGAAAGTCCATTTATAGGAAAGAAAGAAAAATGTATTTAAGATTCAGTTGGGACCCTTGAGTCAACATTATTTTCTATAATCAAAAACCTCATCGGGCTGTTAAACTAGGCTTGTAGAAAAGTGTCAGAGGCCTGAAAAACAATAGAAAGCACAAATGTGTGAAATGCATACACTGCTCACCTCAATGAGGTATTCATTTCAAAGTGGAGAAGGAGACTGGAAACATTATTAAACATGTCAGGGTATAGATTGGATCTCATTTTAAGGTTAACATAAACCTTTTTGAGCGCCTTTCTATTGTTGGGCATTTTATAGGTCTTGGCAGCAAGTTTCAACGTGTGGCTCATTAGAAGGAATGGAATGCTGGGATTTACTGGATACTACTTAAGAGAAATCTCTCCTGGGGAAACTTTGTGCTTTGCCCATAAAGACAGTACTTTGATAAGAATAAAAATATTAACTTGTTCCAGCACCTTCCTTCATGACAATAATGTTACCTTGATTTAAGTTGTGCCTATGTCTTTCTAGGAGCTCAAACTGAGTTTTATGTGGAATGTTATTTCTGTTTATCATCACAAATTCCCTTTGAGGAAAGTAAGGGGTAGGTATTATTATTCTTATTTTAGCATAATCTCAAAGAATGACTTAAATAGATACCATGGCTTTAAAATGCAGGTGTTAGCTTAATGCCAATCCAAATATCCTCATTAATCTAAGGAAGTTAAACCAGCCTCCAAAAGCTATGTGATCATTCTTAAGAGACTGCCCTCTCAGTTTATAGAACTCAGAACCATCTCCTGTTTTTGAGGCCAGGGAGGAGAAATCTATGCTATTACCTCTCACAACTGGATATGCTGAGTTTGTGTGGTTTCCTAACGCTCATTTATGATTTGGATCTGATTTTCAAGTTGGCTTATCCTTTTTTGGTTCCATTGGAATCATGTACCCCCATTTTAACTCTAACTCAGAACTCCAAGCTCTTAGCATTGTTTTTGTTTCCCAAAAGAACAGGGGGATCCTGAGAAGCCACTTGAGACAGAGCCAAGAGTTACCTCCTATCTGCCACCACCTTCTCCCAACTCTCACGGAAACTTGTTGCCCTGCTCTGTGATGCTCCCTCCCACTGAAAATTTTCCAGTTCAAGGTGAGCATCAAGTTGAAAACTATTGTTCCAGAGCTCTGCCCACACCCTATAGAAAGTCACCTGTGGATGAACTCTGTGGTTGACAATCACAAAGCATCTAATTCCAATTAGGTCTTAAGCCACAACCAACAGAGTCTATGCATCAGTGATTCTCAACCTTGGTTGCTCTTGAGAATCAGTTTTGAAGCTTTAAAAACATATCAAGGCCTGGGTCCTACTCTGTAATGACTGTAATTTAATTAGTCTTGGGGAGGGTCTAGGCCTTAGTATTTTTCCCCCTTCATTTTTATTTTTTATTAATTTTTTAAGAGCAGTTTTAGGTTCTCAGCAAAATTGGGAGGAAGATACATAGATCTCTCGTATACCCCCTACACATATATATACATAGTCTCCCCCACTATCAATATCACCCACCAGAGTGGTACATTTGTTACAATCGATGAACCTTAACTAACACATTATTACCAGCCAAATTCCATAGTTGACATTAGGGTTCATTCTTGATGTTGTACATCCTATGGCTTTGGACAAAAGTGTAATGACATATATCTATTATTGTAGTGTCATACAGAGTACATTCATTGCCCTAAAAATCCTGTGTCCCACCTACCCCCAACCCTTGGCAACTACTGACCTTAGTATTTTTAAATACACACTCCCTGTATATGAGGGCCACTGCTCCAAGTTCTGAACGTGAGTGCGCATCTGTGCCATCACGGACAGTCCCTTGTGCTCTGCAAGTGCAAAGGGCCATAGTAAAAATGTACAGCACCATGGACTGGTTCTATCTGAAGCACTCTGCATGCATTCCCTAATTGAGTTCTCTAGACAGTTCCCTGGGATAATTACTATTATTATCTTTATTTTACAGATGAGAATACTGAAGCATAGAGAGGTTGAGAAAGTTGCCTAAGGTATCACACCTTTAGAAGTGACACTTTGGCTCCCATATGGAGACACATTGACCCCTGCACTACAAAAATGTCTGTAGGGGTGTAAATTCTCTGCTTCTAAATGAAAACTTTTGCTGCTGTTATACCCTCATCTCAATGGTTGTAGACTCTTCAAGTCCAGACAGGAACATTGAGAAGATGCCAATCTAATACCTGGAATCTTAGGGTAAAGTTTTTTTTATTATTTGTCATTATGGAAACAAAGCTATAGATGGTTCTAGCCTATCTCAAAAAAGGAAGAAAGAAAGAAAAAGAAAGAAAGAAAGAAAGGAAGGAAGAAAAGAATTCTCATTTTTACAATTAACTTCCAGTTTTGGACCCTCCCCCCACCACAGTAAGGAGCAGATTTCATCTTTAGGGCCTTATATTATATTATATTATATTATATTATATTATATTATATTATGTTTTGTGAGTTTTAATGTTTATATGGCACCTACCCAGAACACTGAAAAGTGTAAGTGTGAACTCTGGCTCCCACTAGTACTCTGACACCATGGATGTCTTTATTGTCCTCTTTGAAAGATAGGTGCAAGTACAAGATGACAGTGGGCTAGGTCATTGTCTTACGTAGAATAACAAAAGGGAAGGAATCTTAACCCAAGAGCTTTGAAGCCATTTGCTTATCAATTTGTTCCTGGTCAATGTCAGATGACTGTATGCTGGGAAGTTCATATGGGAAAAGTCCTAAGGCCATTCCCATATGGTACAGGTTAAACCTCCTGATATACCTCCACCCATATTTATATATGAATGTTAGTTTAAATAGGCATCAAACTAGGCTTCAGGAAAAAATGGTAGCCTAATCTCAATAGGAGAAAAAAAGGTAAGAATACCAAATTGGGGGGCAGGGATGAGGAGATGGGAATGACTGGGGTACTGGGACAGTTCATGGGTTGATTGTATTTAGGTTTTGTTTGTTTGTTTTAACCTAGCACTGCTTCATTCTTCTGGAAATATTGACCAACGCTCCTTTTTTCCCAGCAGGTTAGTTCTCTTCACTCGTAACCCCATTCCAAAATTTGGGATCCTAGAATGCCCGTTTTCTAAACCAGAAGAGTTTCTTTGCGTCTAAATAATGCTAATTCAGTGAGGCCCAAAATACATGTCATCAGAAATGGATAGTTCATATCATCCTGGTTTACCCAAGGCTGCTAGATTTAGCCCTGAAATCTCACTTCCTGGGAAACACCTCAGTTCCAGGCAAACCAGGAAGGATTGTTGGTCACCTCATAATGTTGATTGTCTTAATTTTATTATGGGGACTCCATAGCAAAAGGGAATACTGGCTGCAGTTTATTCACAAATATTTGCAGCTCCCTTTTCTAGCTGTTATACAAAAGCTTGTTGAAATTTTTTTTGGTCCTGGAGGGATTTCAGGGGTCGTGCCCTCCTGGCACATCTTTGAATTAGGTAAGGAGAGAATGGTTTCCTACAGCCAGTTTAGATCAGGGATAATTTTCAGGATAACCCTCTCTCCCACCTCTGGAGACATTTCTGTGACTGTATTTTCCTCACGAATGCATTTGTGTCACCCAAGGGTGTAAGTGCCCATTAGTTCCTGGTGAATTTGAGTTCTCTGAAGTGGTTGTGAAAACCTTAGCCGCACTGTGACTATAGGCGACTGCACTGATATTTTTTCTCTTCCTAATGTAATACGGAAATTGTTGTTGATATTTAATGACAAGGCTTTTCCTGAGGTAGAATGAAGAATGAGAAATTCCACTTTTCTCCCCAGTATCCTGCTTCCCTTTCCTTCCAAAATATGTAATTTCACGAAGGTAATTTTTTATCTCACTTCTGAAGCAAAGAGCATTGTTATATTTAAGAGGAAAATATAACCCGTTGAAATCTGATATTTCACTCAAAGGAAAAAACAAACAAGCTATGGATTGGCCGAGAAATTAAAATCACATTTTAATAAAAATTCTTGTTTCTTTAAAAAAATCAATACTATTAACAGTAATTACTGAGATATTTCATTTTAATGTAAATTCATTCATGGCTAATTTCCTCTTGTTTTTGTGGTAAGGTGTATCAGTATTTAATAATCCTTCTTTCTTCTTATGGGACTAGACTAAGGCAACACTTTTAAGAAAGTCCTTTATAAACTTCTACAACTTGATCCTCAACGCTCAAGTTACTCATGTGAAATGTAACTGAATGTTAAAAACAGATGTAAAGAGCACTAAACATACAATTAAAGATAAACGGTGAGTGGGGTGATACAGTTGAGTCATTGAGTACATACTGGGTACAATGTGCTGTGCTTGGACCACACAGGAGCACAGAGCTGAATAAGATGTTCTTGGTCTCATGAAGCTGCATTAACGTGAGCACGTCCATGTTTATCTAATGCAGGAATCTAAATAATGAACCACTTAGCCTTTAGAATTAATGTCAAGGTGTTTTTGTTGTTGTGGTTAAATGATTTAATATTTAGAATCTTACTCTACTATTGGGCAAATTAAAAAATTAAACCCTTAGAATAGTTCCATGTTGTGGAAGATCAGCTTGGACCTGAATATGCTGAGTGAAGGGTCCCGTAGATTCAGAGTTCAGGAACGATGTGCAGCCTGACTCTGGCAACCTCAGGTTAGGCAATTAGCCCCACATTATTTGAGCACCCAATTTACTATTACATTTTAAAGTTGTAAAATGCAAAATGATTTTTTTACCTCCTAATTACAAGTAATAAAAATTTAAGGCAATATAAAGTTTAACTTGTCTGTTAATTGAGGGGGAAAAGCCATGCTAAATCAGTCAAGAGCAGAATGGTCACTGAAGAAACCCAGAAGAAACTGTCATAAGGATCCCAGTTGCTATTTTAATTAGCATCTGTCAATTAGAAGCGAGTGACAGTGGGGAAAGAATCCTGATTAATAAAATCATAATCCCAAATTGAAAGGGAAGGTCAAAAAGAACATGATGTCTCATTCGACTTCGTCTTGAGGGTCTTCTACACCTAAATTTCTGGAATCCTCTTTTAGACCTCATGAGACTAGACTGCTAATATGACCACTTAATTAACTCTGGGTATAATTAACTGCCTGCATGGCCCTGCCTAATGCCAAAGCTCTCTGTCAGCAAGATTAGAGCAGCTGGCTTACGGGAGGGGGCTGACATGGTTTCCTCTCCTGCATCCTGACAGAGAGGGCCCGGGGAGGGGGCACTAGTCAGTCCCCGACCCCAACATGTCTGTAGGACATGGCTGTTCCTCTATGATTTGTCCAGAGCATACAGAGGAACTGTGAGAATATTTGCTGCTGTTTGAACAAATTTCACAGTGCAATAGGACAATTTCAGCTGCTTTGGCGGCTAACCTAGTGTAAGTCAAAAAAGGGAGGCTTCTAAGGCATATTCAGTCACTGAGAAACAGCCAACCCAGTTTCCAACCAATAACCCCTCCTGTGAAGTTAGTTAGCAGGGCATCTGTCCTTTGTCTTAACAAACAAGGCACAGATGCCAGTCAGTGCTCAGCAGGGCTCGATGGAATTTGTTGGCAAGCCACACTGCTGAGACCCTCTGTCTCCGAGCTCAGCACAAAGAAACTCTTTTTTTTTTTTTTTTTTTAAAGAATTAAGCATTTTAAAATTGATTTTAGAGAGAGATGAAGGTGAGAGGGGGGAGAGAGAGAGAGAAAGAGAGAGATGCCTCGTGTACCCACCCCAACTTGGGATTGAACCCACAACCTGGGTATGTGCCTGATTGGGAATCGAACTGGTAACATTTTGGTGTGCAGGACGATGCTCAACCAACTAAGCTACATCAGCCAGGGCTAAAATTCTAATTTGCTGGCAAATTTTAAATTTTATCCACCAAAATTTTTGCTTATTGAAGGCTCTGATTGAAGGAACTCATCTTAATGACAGCGTTTTTATGACAATACCTTTGGTTCACATCTCATGACTCCACATCACATAATGTAGAATGAAGAGAGATATCAGATGTAAACAGCATTAAAACAGGCACTATTTGGAAATATCTAGATGAATGCTGAACATGTTAAGGACAGAGATAAAAATACGGCGTCCCCCAAAAATGTATACAGGGTGTCTGTAAAATCTATTACAGTTTGAAAATGAAATGTATTTTAATAAACACTGGCTTTATATTTATTCAAAGTTGTGTATACATTTTTCTGGACACCCTATATTTCGAAAATGGTATGAGAACCATAAACACGTAAGCAATTAGTATCTTGATCATTTACAGATGCAGTCAAGGACTTGTAGTTAATGATTTAGGAATCATTTAGGACAACTGAAAACATTCTAAGACAAAAATGGCTCAGTGCTCAGGCCTATTCATTTAAGTAACTCTGTTTTTAAGTAGAGAAAGTAAAAAGGAGGGAGAGAGAAAGAGAATAAAATGAGCAATTAAATGGTAGAAGAAATCTATTTTAAAATGCGATGATGTGAACATATAACTTACTCAAGTAGTAGCTGATGGGAGAAATTTACATCATTTATGGAAATACTATAAATGCCACAGAGCACAACTGACTGAGCAGGGCTGGTGGGACTACATCTACAAGTGAGGATATGAAAACCTAAAAAAGAAAATTGTTCTTTTCTAAAAGTGTCCTCACAGGCACAGTTAAGTCTATTTGACTAATTTTTTAAAGAGTGGCAGTAATTCAACCGACCTGAGATATGTAGGGTGGCGTTAAAATCTAAAACGGGGCAGCAGCTGTGCTAATTCTAGTTCTATACTTACCATCTACATGCCTCCAGGCAAGTTATTAAAGCTCTTTGTGCTCCTGTCTTCTCACCTGTAAAGTGAAGGGGATAACAGTACCTATTCCCCAGGCCCCTCATGAGGACTCCTGGGCTAATAGGCATGGAGCGCTCAGCATGGTGCCTCCACAAAGCAGGTACTCCAGGAATGTGAGCTTTGCTATTTCAATCTGGGCCTGGTAAAACCTTGTTAATCCTGAAACCTAAAAAAGTCAATGCATGTGGTAATGGTTGGGCAACTCTGAGAACACACAAAAAGCCTTGGTTGCACACCCTAAATGTGTGAATTGTATGGTATGTGGAGTATAGCTCGATAAAGATATAAAAAGAAATAAAAACGGTAAGACAAAGCCCTTCATTTTTCTAATGAAACTTTTCTTCTCTAAGATGAATGTAGTAAAATGGTGGGATTCTCTTTCTTTATAGAACAAGTATAATTTTCCTAAATCTGAATTACATTGTTTTCTTGAACTGTAAGGCATACATGCGATTGAAGCATTTTGAACTACTATGAAGTATGTTTGAAATTGTGGAAATAAGTGAAGAAATATATAATAGAATTGTGAAAATAAAGAGAGAGAGAGAGAGAGACAGAGAGAGGGAGAGAGAGAATAACGGAGGCTATTTAAGTCAGAATGTCCTTTAGCAAAGCAGTCAGCCACCACCTATAGCGTTTTTGTTAGAGTCAAAGCAGGCAGGGCAATGGAAAAGCTTTAGAGGGGAAAAGATCAAAGGCTCCAGGTAAGGTCTGATTGGAGGACGTTGGCATGGGAAACCTGGAGGTGTGCTAAATAGAATGGGGTGTTTTATGTGCCTGGGTCGGAGAGCATATTTGGCATTCTCTGAATGCCAAATTCAATTCATCCTGAATTGAAATAGTGAAGGGAGAGACCCAAAATAGGGAAGCTAGCATTGTTGACTCTTCTGGACCAATAAATAGCAACACAGGTTAAGGTTTAGCTTCCCAGACCAGTGGCTGCAGAGGTTATGGAGCAGAGATCTTTTGGTGCTGGCCACTGTTCATTCACATAGTCAGTCTCTCAAAAAAGATCACAATTTGGCCAAGGATTCCTACTAAAAAGCATGGAATGTCCTACCAGAATTCTTTATAACTTCCTATGGCTCTGAAGAATGATGATAAGAGGTATGAAAGGAGGAGGGGAATAAGGTGAAAAGAAAAAGATGCACATAATTTACATTGCAGTTGAATTTAAAAGTGTGTACAAGCACAATATTGCAAAGTAAGAA